CCCAAAATGACCCTAAACCCTAAACCCAAGGGATCGGTAGGAGGGCCTCCTCTTCGGAGAGAGGCACGGTGAGGTGATGAAGGAGTTTCGAGGTACCCTGAGGGTTTGAGCTCTATTCTGCTTTTAGAGGAGTTAAGGTTTAAGGGTTTAGGGTTTAGGGTTTAAGGGTTTAGGGTTTAAGGTTCAGAGTTTAGGGTTTAAGGGTTTAGGGTTTAGGGTTTAGAGGGTTTGACTCCGTCTGCTTTAAAGGAGTTAGGATAAGGGGGACCCCTGAGGATATAGACCCTCTCAATAAGGTCCCTTTAAGAGAGCCATAAGGGCTAAGAAGGCTCCCCTTTAAGGGGTCTCCCTAATACTAGCTAGGACTTTAGGGGTTTGGGGCTTAGGCTTCGGGTTTGAGGATTTCGGGTTGGGGCTTGGGGGCGTGGGTCTATGGCTATGGTTTACGTTTAGGGCTGTGGGCTTGGGGATTGATCGAAAGTTTGTGAAGAGCTTTCCAAGGGCCTCACGAAAGTTCTTCAGCGATGAGCGCTTTTTGGATCTTTGGAGCTAGGTGCTAGGGTTTGAGGCTTGCGGCTTTAACATTTCGGCCTCCAGGGGTTCAAGAGTTGAGGTCCGGCGTTTTGGGGTTTAGGGTTTCAGGGTTTAGGGGTTGAGGGGTTTCTTCGGGCCTCAGGGCTTTGCATCGGGGTTCCGGGCTCTTGGGTCCAGTTGTCTCCAGGCAGACCAGGGGGTTTCCAAGCTGAATTGGTATACTTTGAAAATGGTGGGCTGAGTTCGTATCTAATGCGTTCAGGGCTTAAGGCTCCTGAATGACGAAGCGCAAACCACCCCCCCTCCCTACCGAAAACCCAAGAAAAGCTCCGAACCGAACCCGAAACCCTGCCGGACTTCAAAGCCAAAGCAAACCAGGCCACCGAATCCGGTTCCAAAAACCTACAGCCCCAAAAGCCACACAAAAATTATCCTAAACGACAAAACGACGAAACCCAAATGGCACCAAATCCAACGCAAAAAACAACCCAAAAGCGCCGCTCTTGCAGGCCAGTGGCTGGCTTCCCAGTGGGGCGCTCAACCTCAGCCTTCTTCGGGGCAGCCTCTGCCTGCTGAGGAGGTGAGGCATTCAGTTCCTCCCTCAGTCTCTCGGGAGATCCCTTTAAACATGCCCAAAAACACGGAATTTTCAGAGCTTAAGAGTTTTGCTTCTAGTGTGTGACATCTGAAAGCTTAAACCCTCAATCCTGAGGGCGTTCTTTGGTGTCGGTCCGCACATAGGTCGTTAGGGTGATTTGGGTTTACGAGTAGGGCTTGGGGTTTGGGGGTTTAGGGTTTAGGGGTTTAGGTGGGCTGATTTTGGGCTGCTACCGAGCTGGTTTTGGTGTTTTGTGGTAGGGCTTGGCTTTGAGCTTGCGACTCGGCGCTTGGGGCGCAGAGTATGTACGCACATGGGGTTACCTAGCCCCAAAACAATTGAACCCCAGACCCCGACCCCTGTAAAACCTAAGCCCAAATTCTAGAGGATCGTATACGAACCCTGATACAACGAACCCTGAACCCTAAAGAACCTCAGTCAGAGTTTGATGCCGAAGTCTGAACAGCTCGAAACAAGCCTGAGGAGGTTTGCTGTTTCCAAGATGAAAGTCCCCGGAGCGCGTCCATTCGAAGAGTTTGCTGATGGGAAGCCATGGGGCTCTATCAGGGTTTAGGGTTTAGGGGTTTAGGGTGTAAGGGTTCAGGGTTTAGGACTTAGGGGTTTAGGACTTAGGGTTTAGGGTTTAAGGGTTTAGGACTGCAGGTTTACGGGATGAGGCCTCTAGAGAAGCCCTGGAGTAGCGGAGACGGATGCTCTGAAACTCAGGCCTGACGTCAAATGTAAGAGACTTAAAACTTCGGACAGGTCTGAAATGCAAGATCGGAGACTCGCTGATTAGGATAGGAGCATACTATTTTACATGTAGTTCTACAGGGACTACGAACGGAGATTGCTATGTGCTAAAGTGCAAACCTCGATCTATATCAGGTGCTTGCTGGCCACCGGAAGTCACCAATCCCGAAGCGTGGCAGAAGCAATCCTCTGTCCTTTACGCCCTGGCTCAGTTCCAAAACCGAAACCCCGGTGCCCTATAGGGCTTGTACGGTCGTCGATAAGGTTTTAGACGGTCTGTGTAAGTTTGGTAGGGTGCTTCTCGGTCTTCATCAGGTTTCATGGGCTGTCCTTCTACCGGAAGCCTAAAACCTTAGCCCCCAAGTGTTAGTAACTGAACCACGCCACCCTCGGCTGGCTGCCTTCTGCTGCTCCAGAATCCGACTGGTGCGACGCTTGGGCTGAACAGGCTGTGGGCCTGCCTGCCAAAGCTTTGGCTTTGAAGGTTTAGAATGAAACTACCCCTAAACCCTAAGTCCTAAACCCTAAACCCCAACCCCTAAACCCTAAACCCTTAGGCGGTTTGGGGTTTCCTCGCGGCCTTGGGGCCTTCGCCCTGCTCGACGGCCCCCGGCTCACATAGCTTAGAGCTTAGGGCTTAACCCTATAAGCCCTGAAAGAAGACTGCTGGGCGTTTTGGGGCCGAAAGCCTCTTCGAACCGCTGCTTTCCGATGGGCTTTCGGGGCAGTCGGATGTAAGAAGCTTGTGGCCTCGACTACTCTAAGCCCCCAAACCTGTCTCTACAATAACCTAAATAACCAAAATCCCCAAAAACCTTGCGCCTCATGTTTAGTCTAAGGAGTCTACGGTCTTTTGGGGCTCGTTCAGAGACCTTCTGGCTCTTTATCTGTGGCTCCGGGCTCCTGAACCCCAAATGCCACACCGAAGGGTTCGGGGCTCAGCGTGGCATAGCACCTAGCAACAACACTGCAAGCCGGGTCATGTATGGCTTTATTCGTAGGTCGGAGGTTTTTAATCGGGAGTTAATGTAGGAGAGAGTTTGAAGAGGCTTTATAACACGGAGCATTTTGGTTTCTTGAACCTCGCATCCTAAACGACAAGCCCTACAGCGCTCAATGCCTTAACGGACAATGAAAACCCAGAACCCCGAATCCGAAACCCGGCTGAACCCTCTTTGTTCATCTGCAGTGCACCTCGAAAGTTACCGCACTTTGGCGCTTCGTCTGAAAGCCGGCCTGCAGGGGGGGCTGAGGCAGAAGGCTCATCATGATGGTGATGGTGATGCAGGTGATAACCATCATCATCTTCAAAACAACGGCAACAACATCATCATTTAACTATCACCATCACCATCATCATCATCATCATCTTCATCAGCAGCAGCAGCTTAGGGTGAACATCTGCCTCCCCCAAGTCTTACTGCTTTTTCGGAAACGGAGTAACACCTCTTGGGCTTGAACTGCTGGGTTTGGACTTTGGGCGTCAAGATTTTCGGAGTCTTGGGGTCTCTCTTGTCACGGTTCTCCTGCATTGCGGCCCCAGCAGGCCTTGCCGTGCAGCACTCTCCACATGTGTATGGCCAGAGAAGCACCGAAGACATTCAGCAGGCCGTTGCCGGCCACCAGTTCGTGCCAGCCGGAGATGCTGGGGTCTCGGCAGAGAAGGAGGTACGCATCGTTCGCCGCGCACACCAGGCTAACAAGAATAAAGACAACCAGGGCGCTGACAAAGGTCACGTCCTTCTGCATCCCGCAGCATTCGTTGAACAACCAGATCTTGCTGAGGCGCTCGTAGCAAGCGAAGAAGTTCTGATCCCCCTCTCGCAAGAGGTAGAGACCCAGGATCGGAACCGCTGCGTCATTCAGGCCGCCCCAGACATCCACGAAGATAAACCGGAAGACAACGAGTGGACAAAGCAGCACCACCAAACTCTTGAGTGCCAGAGCACTCCAGCTTAGGTGCTGGCCGGCCGTCCCCTCCATACGAGGCATAGACGACATGGCTTTCCGAGCTCAGCTAAATGACAGAAGGTCAAAAGACACAAACCCGGAACCTCGAAGCGATGCTCAAGAAGTTCCGGCTGGAAGGTTGCTTGTTGAGGTCATGCGAGCTACGACCATCTCGGCAAAAGGACTTCGGGACCTACTCCTTAATCAAGTCCTAATGTTCTTATGCCCATGCGAGCTACTTCAGCTTCTGCTGCGCTCCCTCGCGATCCAAAGGGCACGGACAAGAATGCGAACTTCGTAGGCAGATCTCTCCTGTCTTGGTACCCCTCGACCCTAAACCCCACTTGAAGGAAAACACCAGCTGCCAGTGCGACTGCACACGCCCAGCGAAGCTAAGCCCAGAGCAACACTTTAGCACAGTATAGCAGATTGGTATACTATAGCAGATTATGATAGATTATAGCAGGTTATGGTATACTGGGGTATATTATAGGACACGATGGTATATACTATACTATAGGAATCCATTCCCCCATTCCTTGCCAAGCACTAGAATCCGCACAGAGTCAAGGTTAGAGCTTATTCGTGTCGTTGTTTGCTCGGTTACGTTGCATCGCCAGTGTAGGGGCCAGGATAGATAAGGCAAAGCTAGCAGCTGTCTAAACCGTAGATATCTCGTAGCACGCTCCTCGGAGTTTTGTGTGTTGAAACATCGTACCATTTTAAGTGTATACATGTATATATATATATATGTATATATATACATGTATATGTACACATGTTTAGATACATACATACATACATACATACATGCATGCATACATACATACCTTACATTAATACATTAATACATACATACATACATACATACATACATACATACATACATACATACATGCATGTGTGTATGAACGTATGCATGTATGTATGTATGTACGTATGTATGTATGTATGTATGTATGTATGCACACTAAAACGTGCTGCATACATCATCTGTAATTATACGTGACAACATATTTGCACATATAAATATAATATATATATATACATATATATATACATACATATTGAAAACATGCAAATATACCTACATGTACACACGCACACGCACGCACACGCACGGAC